TTATATTTTACGCCCTGCAAAACGGACTGGAACGAGAAAAAAATTCCAAAAATTTGTCACGCGCGCGGTTCTACGTCACAATCTAAAAAATGTTTTGACGTCAAGATTTCTCCCTCTCTCTCTGACATCATCGCCGCGAAATGTGCGCGTTGTCAATCGACGCGATTACTTACTCCGAATCTATTTTCGCTACTCTTAGTATTGACATTTAGAGTGCCGTACTGGCGGTGGGCGAGTTGTTTTGACAAGAAAGTAAACAAACGGCGTCTTGCGAGGATGTTTTGAAGATTTTGAGTTTGGATTATTTTGATTTTGAACGTAAGCAGGAATAAACACACATGAAGCGCGTATTATGCACTTGGGAAGAGAGAGTTAAGGATCCCACGATTTTCCACCGAATATACCCAAGACAAGCGGGCCCATTCTCCGCATCTTATAACGTTTTGTGCAGAAAATTTTTTCACTTCCTCACTTTTATTTCACTTGATAGCGCAATCTGTAATAAACCATGACGAGGTTTCCTTAGTTATCACAAAAAGTACTGCAAAATTGGTGAAAAATTGCTACAGTTTCTTACCTATATTCCTAAATAACTAAATTCAAAAATAAGTCACATGAGCATCTCCAACCAATCAAACCCCTAAACATTTTCAATGATTGTTTCTGCGGTATTTAATATTTCAATTCGACAAATTTACATTTTATTACTTGAAATTTGGTATAGCTTTTCCATTATAGGCGTAGGCAAACTTTATGAAAATGAAATTAATTTCGTCCCCTGTTGTAATTCAGATATTAATAAATAATATATAAAATAAATAACCTTATCCTTTTTAACCACTCACCATTGTAACTGATGGATTGCCCTTCATTATTCTTATTATTGATTAACCTTCTATCTGGACACTCAGTACGATATGCCTATTAAAGTAGATTGGAGAGGAGACAAAAGTTCAGGTTATTATAACAACCACACTGAACTAGATGAGCTTCGAATAAGTTATCTCATTGACTCACCTAATTCACATTCAGGCTTAAATTTCGTTGTTCAATAGACAATTTTCTAAATCTTCTAGAATTCTGAGATTTTATTTAAAGATGGCTAAGATCCCCACTCGTTAAATTGTAGTCAACATACTTGTGATGAATGAAATTCGTGTGTTTATTTAAGTCCATTCCACGGTTTATTAACGATGGAAATTGGCCGATTCTCGTCGACAAAATTTAGCTACACGTCCTTCCTTCCTAAAATAACTTTCTGTCTTTATTTTGGGATGATCTGTTATCGACAGGCAAACGATTAATAACCGGAGTGGTTGTAAACCACGGGATTGATGTGTTTGATGATTTCCGAAATTTTCCACACGTTTTTCAAATAATTATTTCGAAATATACAGATACAATAAAATTTGGACATTTGAAAATATACAGGGTGAAAAATAGGCGCATACGTTAACAGATTACATTTTGTATCAAAAATTGATATTTAATTGACGGTAACATCATATTTGTCGTTATTTTTAAAAAATTTCAACATGACATAACCATTGGTGCTGCTGGTGTTTTTTTTTTTTGGTAATAATAATAATAATTGTATAGAATTATTTCAATGTTTCAAAGTTATGTGAATAGATAAATCGAAATAGTGCAATAATAATTAACAAACGTTGATATTTTCCATAGATATGCGACTATGGATTTAAGATTTTAATTTTTTAATATTTTGATATCTCTGTGTGTCATTTTTCAACCAATTATAAAATTTCATGCAATTTTGTGTGCTTACTTTTAAAAATAAAATGCATTGCAGTAACCGTTAAAAGTGTGTTATTCTTAAATTTCACGCTACATGACTCTAAATATTCTCTGCAGAATACCTTTTTCATGTTTCTTCCACCTCCATTCAAGATAATGCCATATCTATCTAACGTGAGGTTCGAAAGTAGAGTGGTTAAGTGCTAATTAAGCTTTCAATCTCCCCGCAATTTGACTGACATATTCATTCTATGATAATTTATTATCTAAAATAATTTGGTGCCATTTTCCATTCATTGTGTATCAAATTCAAATTCCATGACATTTGACACTGGCATTTTCCAATGAGTACGTCCGCAAATGATGAAACGAATTTCTGAATTCAAATAGAAGGAGTTAATATACGACAATATTTATGATTCTAGTAATTATGAATTTATCACTTTTTTACTTAATTAATTTCAGATTCATTTTATAACAGGTACCATTTTAAGAAAATATCTCCAGTGTTACTGGTTATGATTAAGTGAAATTTTATTTGTCAAAATTGGTAGAATTACAAGACAAGGAAGTAAATATAATTTTCAAATGTTCCCAGTTTAAATCTCATGCATTTTGTAAAGATTATACACTTTTTTAATTAAAAATGATACAGACATCTATTTTTTTAAATTACAAATGTATTACAATAAGCACAAAACAGTTTCAAAATAGAAATGGGACTAGGGGGAACTTTGTTAATCCGCTCCTAATAAATAGCTTATGTTACCATGTTTTTTAAAAGAAGATGCTAACCTATCAGTCGTGCCATACCAGGAGGACATGACTTCGCATGTTTTTTAAGTTTATTTCAGTGAAATGATAAAGTAGCTTTGGGTTAATTCAGCAAGCTATCATTATCGACTGGTTAACCACCAAAAACATTGAATTTAAAGATTATTTAATAAAGAATGACCAATTACAGTATAGCAAATTTTGCTTTCGGTATATAAAATACGCCGTGGTAGATATAGCAGGAAAACACAGTGTAGCTGTGCTGCGCACTTTTTTTATAATTTAATTACTGTATAATGTAATATCACTCTCCCAAGATGGGTTGTTTAAGGTGCAATGAAATTTCGGGTTTCGAGGTTATATTGTTTGCTTAAAGGTATATAAAGAATATGTAAGCATGTTTAATTTGTTCAGGTATATTTGTACCATTTGATATAATATAGCTCAAACTTGTTGCTTTTATTATTTCACCATAGGTGTCGCTGTTTATAATGAAAAATAAATTTCAGAATAAAGCTACTAAGAAAATGTATGGATTGATATTTCGGAAGTATGGGGCCATTATATTTTCAATCAATATATTATTCTGTTAGAGAAAGTTCAAAGGAAATTTGAAAATTTTCTAGCTTTTAAGTGTGATGTGTGATCACCAATTATCCGGTTGGCATCTTCAGGGCTGGAACTAATTGGCATTCTACTCTGTACCTGCTTATATAATGTTATCGCGGTTTAGATTATTTGGTTGATTTCTATGGATTATCGGATTTTTGTTTGGTAAAAGAATTGATTACGTGCAAGAATTTTAGTTTAATCTTCTTTGGTGAATCGAAGAAGAAGAAGTGGTAAATATAGTTTAAACATTATCTTGGTTGAGAACTTTTGATATGTGGTCAGTAATGTTTTGAACGTAAGGAATGACCACAGTGGAAAGTGTGCGGTTGCTTTCGGGCTCATTTTCTTTGGGAGGTTGTGATTAAATGTGGGAGAAGAACAGATTTTTGGGCCGGGTGGTGATGTGTTAAGCTATTGGCCTTTGTGCGTAGATCTATAAGCTGAATGACGCAATTTTAGGTGTGATTTTATTAATAAGATTAATAAGAATATCTAAGAATAGGAGAGTAAAGTAACAAAAAAAGAAGAAAGGTGTCATCAACGTATCGTTTCCATGGTTTTGGTTTTAAATTTGCGATGACTGTTAAGGATGAACCCATAACTATTCCTAATATTTGACCGTTAGAAGAAAAATATGTTTCAAGCAAGGCATTTTTCAATTAAGATGAGAGGGAAGATTTGATTCCAAATTCCTGAATTTTAATATATCTCAAATAATGCTCAGGGTTTCAGGAATTGGGACTTTAGTAAACACTCTACGTCGAAGTAACCAGAATATCGTTTGGAATCCCAAAGACTTGTAAATAGATAGATAGATAGATATCAACGATTGTTTCGTTTCAGGTGATTATTTTAGGTGCGTTATTTTTTTTTATTTTAAGTCTTGTTTGCTTTTTTTAATATTTTATTGTTTTTTGTTGTATATATTCGGTGTTTTTGTTATTTATCATTATTATTATTATTATTATTATTATTATTATTATTATTATTATTATTATTATTATTATCATCATCATCACCGCTGGCGTAAGCGGACCACAAGCTACTGAGTGCTCTCTCCACGTGTCTTCCCTAAAATCGTAGTTAAAGTTCAAATTAAATCTTCAAAAGTGTTTTACTAATAACATAAGTGTGGTGTGAACTACAGTACTTATTGGTGTCATTGAAATCATTCTTTATTACGCGTATAAACCGATCGGTTTATTTCCTTAGGATCACCCACCTTTTTTTGCCTTTCGGAGAGCGCGTGAAAAGGTTGTTTCCGCCCACGGTTCGTAGAAAACTTATTGTACAGTTCGGATCCGATTGTTTTCGGTTTTGTGCTAAATAACTTAAACTGACGTATAGCAATGGTGCAAAAAGCCTGTAAGCGCTGTGACGGTGTTGCTGGCACGGGTCTGAAGTGCATCGTCTGTGGTGTTCTAATGCACAAGTCTTGTGCCAAAATATGTAAATTCGTTAAAATTCTGCAGGATGATAAAATAGACTGCTGCACATATGACCCTCGTGTCGTCGACAAGACCGCTGGGCCCTCCACCGCCTCCACTGAATCCGCCACTGTGGACGCAGGGAATACCAGCGACCAGCCGTTGGCTGATCACATATCCAGTAACCATCTCACTGAAATACGGTATCTGAAAGAGCTGCTCAAACAAAAAGATGAAACAATACGTTACCAGTTAATGGTTATTAATTCCCTTCAAGATCAGATGGCTATGTTAAAGAGAGAGTCCGCATCCCATGTCTGCCCGGTTCTTCCCGTTGTTGTCGGCGGGGCACGTAATCCAGGCACTAAACTTGATGTGCCGGCTGACGGGTGGAGGAGAACTACACCCCCACAACAAAGATTAACCGAATCGACTGTTGGTGGTGCTCTACACGAGGCTACAGTGCGGAATAAGTGCAGCGAGATCATCAGCTTGACCTCCAGCGACAACCTTGTTCCTGGTTCCGGTCCTGCCAGTGATCTCCGTCCACCCCAAACAAAAGTGGAGAGACCACCTCGTCCCAAGCTCACTTCCAGACCTCAGCCGATAGTGGGCAGTCTTAAAGACCCTGCGTCCTGTAAGTTACAGGTAGCAACCAGAAGGACACAGTTCCACATCTCCAAGATGCATCCGACGACTATGGTTGCGGAGGTTCAAGTGGAGCAAATTCGATCCATGTTCCCTGAAAGTTATGCATCTTTCAAGTGCACGGTGTTGGACGCTGACTCAGAGAAGATTCTTAATCCTTCCATTTGGCCCACTGGAGTGCTCGTGAATCGTTTTTTCGGTCGGCGTGCTTCGGGGCAGCAACCCAAGTAATAAAGGTACTCTAAGTATTCTTAGCTTAAATATTCATGGTCTCTCTAGTAAAATTGACTTACTCAACGGTTATTTGCTGGATAAAAATGTAGATATTCTCTGTCTATCTGAACACTTTGTCTGTGATGAAGAACTTTTAAAATCAATATGTGTAAATAATTTTCTATTGAAAAGCTTTCGATGCCGTCAGACTGCGGTCAGAGGGGGCGTATCAATTTATAGCAAACACAAAGTCAACTGTAGAACTTTAGATTTAGATAAATACTCACTAGACATCCATGCCGAATTTTGCGGCATTGAATTAACCCACAAAAATACTGTAGTTATCAATGTATATAGATCGGGGAGCCACGGCGACCCTTATCTATTTATATCCAGGCTAGAACTTCTTTTAAATGACCTCTACTCTAAGAAGAGAAAACTTATTATTACAGGTGACTTTAATATCAAATTCAACCTGACTTCAAATGCTCTAACGATGGATTTTGTCAACTTACTTGCCACCTTTGGAATCTCCCCTAGTGTCGCTGACCATACCCGTATAACTGAAACTACGTCAAGTTGCATTGATAATTTCCTTGTCAATATATCCCCCACTCTGTTCACTGCGGGCAGTGAGGATCCAGCACTCTCTGATCATTCCGCTGTTTTTATGGAATTACACTTTGATGTTTCCTCTGTGCACGATGACCATATTCAATTCAGACCAATTACCCAGGCGGGTCTGAATAACCTCTGCACAAGTTTTGAGAGCACCGATTGGGAACCTTTTATTAATACTAACGCCGATCCGACCAACTCAACAAAAGAACTGCTTCATATCTTCACCGCCAATATCCAGAATCACTTTAAAGTCGTAAAGCGCAGTAATTCCTTCCGTCCCCCCGTGGTCTGGTTCAATCGTGACCTCAAACTTATGAGGGATCACGTGATGCTTTTAAAAGCCAAGTGTCGAATATTTTCCCCACGCGACAGTTGGGCTGAGTATAGACTGGCTAATGCTAACTACAAAAGAATGATCAAAGAAACAAAATCCAAGGCATATGCCAATTTTATAACTAGAGCCAGCAACATGAGCAAAAGTTGTTGGACCTTGATTAACCATGAAACTAACAGAGCCTCAAAGGCTATACCCAACTCAATCACACCCAACGAATTTAACTCTTACTTCTCCAATGTAGTAAATGACCTAGTATCATCCATTGGGAAATCCAGTGACCCATATGTGTACCTTACGAAAACACCCTCTCCGTGTAAATCTTTCTTCTTAAGCCCGGTCTCTGAGAGTGAGATGTATGGCATTATTATGGGTCTAAACAACTCAAGTTCTACCGATTGCTTCGGCTTAAATTCAAAAATATTGAAACACACCATTGAGTACATCGTGGGTCCCCTGGCAGCCATAACGAACGCAGTGTTTTCGAGTGGCGTATTTCCTTCGGATCTAAAACTTTCAAAAATAATTCCCATTCACAAAAAAGACGATCAACATACACCAAATAACTTTAGGCCCATTGCAATTACCCCTATATTCGGTAAAGTCATTGAGAAAGCCCTGAAGGCTCGCCTGTCACTGTTTTTTGAGGAAAATAAACTTCTGTGTGAATCGCAGTTTGGCTTTCGTGAGGGGAAATCCACGACCCATGCACTTATGCACTTTGTGAACAGTGTGGTGCGGGGTTTCGATGCTGGCGACGTATCAAAGGCACTTCTGTACGACCTTACGAAAGCGTTTGACTGCGTCGATCACGATGTGCTCTTAAACAAATTAAAATTTTATGGCGTCAGAGGTATCCCTCTAAAGTTAATAAACTCGTATCTTAGTAACAGGTTTCAGTATGTTGAGTTTGGTGGAGTGTCGAGTGATGATGCTCTTCCAGTGAGCTGCGGTGTCCCACAGGGCTCGGTTCTTGGGCCGTTGCTCTTCATCATTTATATAAACGATCTGCCATTGTCCGTGCCAGATGCGAATGTCACCTTGTTTGCTGACGGCACTGCCATTCTGTTAACAGCTAAGCATCAACGAATGCTTAGTGAAGATGTCAGCGTAGCAACAAATGTTCTCCAGCAATGGTTTTCTGCAAATAACTTAGTCCTCAATAAACAAAAAACTCAAGAACTTACCTTCTCCTGCAGTAAAGTCGACTATCTGTATCAAAATAATATAACCCTCTTGGGATTCGTAATTGACAGGACTCTGTCATGGTCAGCCCAGATTCATGAGGTCTGTGCAACGTTGTCTCGGCGACTGTTCCTACTGAGACATCTCAGCCATTGTCTAACCCCGGCGGCCCTTAGGATAGCCTATTTTGGGCTTTTTCATAGTGTGCTGTCTTATGGCATTGTGCTTTGGGGTGGGGTTGGATATACGGAAAGAGCTTTTCGTTTGCAAAAGAAGACTGTGCGGGTCCTCTGCGGTGCCAACGCGATTGCCCACTGCAAGCCCATTTTCTCTGACTTCCAGGTTATGACGCTGCCTTCTACTTATATATACCGATCCATCCTGTATATTCACGAAAACGCGGATGTCTATGGGACACTTGGCAATAGACATGAGTATAATACTAGGTATGTTGACATGATCACCCCACCTCACTCCAGACTGACGTCCTCACAAAACAATAAGATTAATGTTAAACTGTATAATGTTCTCCCAAATAATATAAAAAATCTACCATACAGACAATTTAAAAAGAGAATGAAAAGTTTTTTTACTGATAATCCTTTCTATGATATTAATGAATACTTGGAGTTGATCAAACATACTACACTTGAATAGACCACTGCGTTAGTGTGTTAGTTCTCAAAAATTGTACAACCTTTTATATTATATATATAAATTCTTTTGTATTGTTAACCTTTGACGTACCATTTGTTGTTTTTGTGACGTATCTGAATGGCCAATAAATTCTATTCTATTCTATTCTATTCTATTGTTGTTGTTAAAGACAATTTCTATTGGAGAATGCATTCTGTACTGCAGATGAATACATCCGTGTTGGGTCACGAGTGTCTCCATAGTACAAATTGGAATTTTTTTAGCTAATTCTTGTTTAGTTTGAATGTTCAGTATATGTCTATCTGCTAATTATGTTGCTCTTCATGTATGTTATTAGAATATTTGCGTTAATTCATTATCATTCATAGTTGTCACTTGCCATTTGTTGTCCTTGTAATGTATTTAATGGCCAATAAAGTCTAAAATCTATTATTATTATTATTATTATTATTATTATTATTACTATTATAAGTTCCATCCACTGCATGGCTTACAAAACCAACTGAAGAAGCGCCCTGGTCGGTCTACCGTATTTTCGCAAGGCAGAACAAAATGTCCACAATACTTATTACTTATTAGTTAGAATTTGTTGGCGTCCGCGAAAACGCGGTTATCAATTTCGAAGAGGCCCTTCGGTATTTAAAAGAGCACCAAACGTGCTTAAGTGCCGGACCCGGCTAATTACCGTCAAGTGAACATAAGTGCACCTCGCGTCATCATCCCCCGTTGACATTTAAAATTAGATTCTGAAGCCTCGTCTTTGCGATAAATTTGAAAAGTGATCGTCGAACGTGCTGCCAGTTTTTTCGCGAGATGACCAACGGCAGGACGTGTCTTCTTCACGTGAACTGAACACCGGTTGCGAGGATGATGATGTGGCGGTATTATATAGATTGTTTTATAAAGTAAGTGTCCCGAATTTCCAAAAGCATTTTAGAATGAAACCTTATCTTAGAACCTGCAAACAAAAAAAAACCTAAATATTGTTGCTTGGATTCGCTTGTTTCTTACTTTTAAAATGTTCTATTCAGAGTGTTTTAAAGCAAATGCCAAAAATTTAGGGGGTGATTCCTTGTTTAAAATAAAGAGTAGTTTGTTAAATAAACGTTGGGTCAAAAGCCAACCATTAGAAAGATATCATTTTACAAATGTGACGGAAAAGTAAAGGGTTTATTTTCGATCTTAACAATAAACAAGTATAAAAACAAACTTTCTGCGTATTTTTTGAAATGAGTGGAGGGAATTTAACTATACTACCCCCGTCATTCATCATAACTAAATTTAAGGTAAAAAAAATTGCAATGCAAATATGCAATCCAATGTAATGTAATTAATCTACTACTCTTTAATCAAAATAATTATAAAGGGTGATTCAATAAGGGTTTCCACATTAAAATAATAAAAAAAAACTCGGAAGAATATAAAAATATACAAACATTTTTATTTGCCATTTTAGATTAGTGTATTTTAATTAGGTATGAAAGATGATGTCATTCAAATGACCCCCGCGACCCATGTGGCATGACGTAATTCGTGTATTGAAATTTCCTATCACTTTTTGACACAATTCAGGTTCTATGCCGGCTATTTCGCGTCTAATCTCCTGTTTCTGCTCTGGAATGGTGTTTGGTTTATCTCTATACACTCTACTTTTTAGATACCCCCAAAAAAAAAATCTAGGGGAGTAAGATCACATGATCGCGGCGGCCAATTGATATCGCCGTTACATGAGATAATCCGACCAGGAAACTTGCCCCGCAGCAATTGCATCCTTTCTCTGGATGTGCGACAAGTGGCTCCATCCTGTTGAAACCACAAATCTTCAATGTTCATACCTTCCAACTGCTCCCAGGAAAAATCAGATATCATGTTTCGATAGAGAACACCATTAACCGTAACAGCGTTCTCCGCATTATCCTCGAAAAAAAAAGGGCCAATTATTCCTCCGCACCAAACAGTCACTTTTTGAGGATGCATTGCTTTTTGAACAATCTCTCTTGGATTTTATAATCCCCAAATACGAGCATTGTGTTTGTTTACAAAGCCACCAATGTGAAAATGTGCCTCATCGCTAAAGATGATTTTCGTTGAAAAATGAACCCCTTGCTCTCGTATCCATTCTGCAAACACGCGGCGCTGTTGATGATCACGAGGTTTCAACTCCTGAGTTATTTGGACTTTATATGGGTGTAGATGCAAGTCTTTTGTTAAAATTCGCTGTGTGGTTGAATACGTAAGGCCCACTTGCTGCGATCCATTACGAATCGATGTATTTGGATCTTCGGCTACACTTTCGCGAACAATGGCAATATTTTGATCTGACCGACCTGCACGAGCACGTTGAGAGACTTTGAGGTTAGTTACAGATCCAGTTTGCTCACATTCCAAATTGTCCTCTCAGAAGGTCGATTTTGCACGCCGAAAAATTCACGTAGAGCCCGAAATGCATTTTTTCTTGATTGACCATTTTCATAATAGGCTTGCACAATTTTTACACGTTGTTCAGTCGTATATTGCTCCATGACTATTCTGTTTATGTTTTGAGGTTAGAAATCTCATATGATAATAAGCAAATACAGTGGCGTTTCAAAAATATTTCAGATTGTAATGTGGAACCTCTTATTGAATCACCCGTTATATACTACGCATAGAGGGTTGAAGCTATTTTACCAAGAGATTTCGAACAATGATCTTGCCGAATATATCGATGATCCTTTTTTTTTTGTTCAAAGATAATTTTTTCCGACGTAGCTAGTTCACGTTCACAGCAGGCATGTTGCAGATAATCCCCATTCACTAATAGAATGTAGGCATTAATAGCAGTTTGCTGTGAATGCTTGGTTGGAAATTATCGACGATCACTTAATTAGTCCACATTTTGTACCTTTAAGATTTACTGATGAGTGCTATTTTCGGTTTCTGAAAGAAGAATTACATTATTTCCTGCAAAGTGTACCCCCGTTATCCAGAGGAGACATGCATGATGGTGCCCCAGCACATGACAACTTAAATTAATCACAAGAGCACACTGCAAGGATCTTCTCTGTCGCCAACGCTATTTGATGTGTTTGTGGATAGCTTCCGAGATCTCTAACAGACAGTAGAACTTCTAGTGTCCTTCTCTGAGGATTCCAATGTAGTGATATCGATATAAGCTATTAAGACAAAGGGAGATTCAGCCATAAAAATAATGTCAAATTGGTGTCTAGCTAGAGATATCATATCAAATACCAATAAATTGTGCAATAAAATTTCTTGGATTATTTATTGACCAAAAACTCACTTGGGCTCCTCGTGTTAATTATCTGGCAGGCAAATTAAGCTCACATTTATTTAAAAATATAAGAGACTATAGATATTTTGATATTAATATATTTTGGTCTTATGCAATCTACTGTTTCTTACAGGGTAGTATTTTGGGAATCTGAAGAGATTCTGGAAAAATATGTATTCCACACAAAAAAGCTATAAAATCGATGGCCGGCAAAGACAGCTCAGACTCTTGTAGACAATATTTCAAAAATAAAATATAATGATTTGTCCTTGTCTCTATATTTTTCTCTGATAAAGACTTATAACAAAAATATCATTAAGAGATGCGAAACGCACGAATATAACATTAGGATTAAAAATCTGTGCTACGTACCGCTGCCTAAATAAATTATTTGTAATGTTTTAAAAAAATATTAAAATCTTTTTTGCTAAATAAAAACTACTATTCGAGGAAGGAATTTTTTAAAAATGAAAATATAAAATAATGTTCGATTAGGTTTGACCGTCAATATTTCTTAATTTGTTTTGTAATTATTTGATATATCAGTCCCTGCCTAATATTTTGCGTGTGAAATTTTAGATACTAAGGTTGTCGTTCAGAGGAATTAATAAATGCTTATTTACTTACTTACCTCAATACAGGATGTCCAAGACCTAATAAATAGGATAATTGCATCTTGTAATGTCATAAGGGATATTCCAGTGTATTATGGACTCACTCATGCGTTGGATAAATGAA